GAAAAGCGGAGAAGTATTATATTAAAATGTTGATACATTTTAGGAAAAAGAGTTGTCATGTATGGCAACCTTGAGAGAACAAAACTTAGAGATGGAACTACAAGAAGTGTTTCAAGATCTTTTCATGTGTCCTAAAAAAGAAACTATTTTTCTTTTAGATTATGGTGTTTGCTTTATCTCTTCCATGTATCCAGGTTGTGGCAATTCAGACTATGTTAAAGATGGGGCAAGAGACACATTGTATAAGAGGATGTTGCTTGTATTATGTCTGGGTGACTTAACAGCTTGTGCTATGACTTAATACTTCATGGGAGAGGAACCATTTTAATTAATAAAAACATATTCTTCTAGAATAATTCTGTATCATTCCCACCTTAGTTGTTTAGATCATATTGTTTTGAATACAGTTAAGAATAAAGCTGTATAGGAAACTCAAACCCTGTTTTGTTGTTTTTTCTTTAAACTTCACAGTGTGTAACACTATATGATAATCTGATAATATGATAATCTAATTCAAGTTTTCCTTTGTGATGCCTGCAGTAAAACCTATAGTATTTGCAATTTGCAGATCAGTAGATTGCTTTTTCTCTTTTGGGAGACGTTTTTAAAGCCTTTAATATTAGTAGATATTAGTAGATATCTTGTTTGTTCCAGCAAGTAAGTCTTATTTTCTGTAACAGTGTGTGCATTGTTAACTTCTAATCTCTTATTAGCAGAACAAGAAACTGAAGTTTGTAATTCCAAGTACTTTGCTTTCCCAAGAAGAAAAAGCCAGCATAGTCCTGTAACAGAACATCTTTATTTTATTTGAATTAACATACAGTGAAGGGATAGAAACTTTTGTAGTTTTCTAAATGGAGCAAAATTTAGGAAATACTCTATCCACAGTAAAATAACACTCCACATATCTTGAAATAGGACAGTCTTCTGCCTTTTGAACTAATAAGGCAAGCTACAGTGTCATGAGTGAAGGATGGTAGGACATGGGATAGTAGAAGGCTTCTCAGGAAGAGCATTGCTTTTTCTATAGTATCACAAATATACGAAAGTCAGTTACTACAATAAAAATTTTTGGTTATGGGCTGTGTCTTTACTGCTTCAGAGGTAGTAGTTTAACTATTGAGGAAGGGAGGAATTCATTCATGTATATAGCAAGAAAAATCTGAGATGCAGATTGCTTTACATCATTATGGGTAGGGTTTGACACATTGAGAGAAACTTAGATTTTTTTTATTATTATTTTTTGCTTCTTTATGCCATGTTTAAATGAAGATTGTTACAGTTAAGAGTAACCATCTGTTATGTAGAGAGAAGTAATGATGGGGGGGATGTTGATGTGGTAATTCTTTATTTTATGTAAACAAACTGAGATGTGTAAGATTTGTGAAGACCTTAAATACCTGACTTCAAGACTGAAGTATTTTTGCTGATTGGTATGTGTGCTACGTAAAAGGAAGGTTTTGGTGATGATAAAGTGGTTGTCAAGTCACTGTTTATCCTAAAATTACTTGATTTTTATCTCTTTAGCTTATTAACTTAGATGTGGTTTGAAAAGTGTAACAGTTACATGGCTTGTTTTATGCCTTTGGTGATGTGCAGTAGAAAGCTGCCTTTACAGATTTGATGTGTGGAAAGGCTGTAACACAGGTAAGTCATTCTGATGACTTCTGGTCCAGTGAGGAATGAGGATGAATATTCTGTCACTGACCGGCCTTACAGTAATTTTCAGTGAAGAACAGTATCAAAATTAATTTTGTCTAGTACTATGCAGATTCCTAGCAGAAGTTGGAAGTGGTGCTGATAAGTGGAAGACAAACATTTCTTCAGTGCTTGAGGCTTTTTTCTGTGATTTGGGCTTTTCTTTATTGTTACTGTTTTCTGGGTTCTAGTAACAAGCCAAATGCAAGAACCTTATGGAAGCATGACCTAACATGCCCTTCCACCTATGTTTGGTAAGTCATGGTAGGTTTATTCTCAATGGGTCATGAAGAAAATGATTACCCACATTTTGTCAGCTTCAAATATGTTTGTTATGCTTAATGTGTTCAGAACCTTCAAAGCTTTGTAGAAATAGACTCATTGGGCAGACAGGATTTACCAGGCAGCATGAGACAGTTTGACAAAACCCATTACCCTTCTGAATTTACAAGGTTAGCAGTGTTTTTGTAGAAATCTGTGACCAGATAATCTTTCCCCCTTTGCCTTTTTCTGATGGATTTCTGTTTATGCTTGAAAGTTGGATATTGAAGGTCTTCTGACCTTGGAAATTGATCTGCTTGAATTCTCTGAGCTTGGGGACCTTTAGATCCTGCTCTGAGGTTTACTTGCTCAGCATGTAGTTCTTTTCCTGTTTGTTCCTGTTTTGTTCTGATGTTTCATTTCTCTTCAGTTGATTGTTTGGTTTTATATTGAAGGAAGCATTTATAATAGGCTGAGCAAGTTATTTTTTGTTTTAAATGGCGTAAACTGATGTGCAGTATTTGTTCTTGGCTCTCTCTGTGAGGGGGAGAAACCCAGGAAAGTTCACATTGGCAGATCTAAGGGATGATGAAACTGGTGAGTTTTTCCTAGGATTAAAACAAGGTGTCATGTCACTCACACAGTAACTACTAAAGCTTGGAACTTGGTGTTTAAATGATCATAGAAAGTACTTGTAAGGAATTACCTTGTGTATTGGTGTAATTCTGAGCAAACTGAAATTCTTTATAGTGCTTTTTTTTTTTCTGTTCCATTTTTCTGAAAGGAAAAAGCAGCAACAACTCATGTGTGAAATCACCTTTGTTATCATATTTGGTCCATAAGACAAAGTGCTGACCTGTAACCCTGGTATATTGATATTGAATGTCATTCTAGGGGTGTTCAAAGAAAAAGGTGAACATTTTTAGAGAACTGGAACAGGGAAAGTGTCTGGTGAGGATGCAAGTTTTAAAATGTTGCAAAATAGACATCTGCTAATTGATTTTTCAATTTTGGGTCTTGGAAAAATAGTAATAATGTCTTTAAAACAGCCTCACATAACTTTGATCTGATCTTATTAGCATCACTAGAAGTAATTGTTGTAATTAGAGCTGTGATCTACTCTCTTACTGACATACAGGAGAATGGGAAAAAATAAGTAATAGATTTGATGTGTATTGATTTATTACTTGCTGTAACTTGAAGGAAAAGTGTGGGCCTTCTCACTTATTTATTAATTCCAAGGAATTGCCAAGGTGATTTCTTTTCTTAGCTTAGCCTTGTTCTATAACCTAGAGAATTTTTTGAACTAAGATGATGGGACAATCCAATACATTACATCATTTGAGTGAATTTAATGTGAGCTCCCTGGAGTGGAACTTCTTAAATCAATAGCATTAGAGCCACTCGTTTTTAAAGGAAATGGCACGAACCAATAATGACAAGCTAGCAATAAAAGAGGAATAGCATTTTTGGAGGTATTTCAAAAGAATAAGCGTGTTCTTAGATCTTCTGGTGTCTGATCATTTCAGAGACACTGGAACTACTTAGCTAATGTTGACTAGATCAAATCAGAAAGCTGGCCATATGTTGGTTCTGTATAAAATGGGAGAGATACAAGATATTTGCAACATGATCAAAGATGCTATCCACAGTTACATGCATAGTACTTTACAGAAACACACAATTCCAGACTACCTTCAAGCCTTAATAGAGGGAGTTCATTAACTTGTGGAAATGTAAGTATCAAAAAATCAAATCAAAGAATCAAATGTAAGTATCAAAAAGTATGTAAGTATCAAAAAACAATGGTTGTTAAAGAATGGTGTAAAGAAGTTTTGAAAGGCTGTGAGTACAGGTTAAATGTATTGTTTTAAAACACAAACCAAGTTGCAGAGTTGTCAGTTGACTTAACTGTAACTCTTCTTAAAGGAAAGGACTTTCCAAGTGTAGTAGTTGCTGATTTTTCCCCAGTTTTACCATAGGAAATAAATGGTTAAATCGTGCAACAGCTAGTATTGGAATTGTCTTTTTCAGGTCCTGAGACAACTCTGTATAAACTCAGTTTTAACAGATAATATAGAATACATAATTTAGAGCAAGTATGGTTCCAGAGATGAAGTCTCTGGAATACCAGGAATTAGATATGGGAAAATACTTGTCTTCAGAAGATCAGAATGGCAAAGGAGAAGACACTTCAGTCTTTAAGCAGCAAGAGGTTATCGTGACAGTCATTCTACAAGACTGCATCTCCAATTTAAATCAGTATTTCTCATACAGGTTGTCTCACTGGAATTTTTTGTGCTTCACCAGATGAGAACTTCTCAGGTAGATGACTTTCCTATCTCCATTATTACGTTTGAAATTCATTCTCTCTTCAGTGCTATATTCTTTTTTATAAATTCTTCGTTTGCTTTCACAGCATTTTATGGAGATGTGGTGAAGAAGCTTTCTTAGCTGATACTAATCTTAATCTTACAAGGTATGGAATAAGCAGCCTGATTTGTGTTGCTCAACCCTTTTGGTGGTGATGGCAATGCCATGTGGCCATAAGCTACAGAAAGGCCATTAAGGTGGCTCTACTGTCACAAGGGGGAATTTTATCGTGTGCTGCAGTTTTTTACTGAAGATGAAGTTTTTCCATGTCTTTTTTTTCCCCCTGAGAGACATTTTATGAAATGAATGTGCCTGTACACTGGCATCTGCCACATGTTTGAGGCAGTGGTGACTAAGTTACTCGTGTGCTTGAGGCTGCCAAACAAGGATTAGATCTGCTGTAAGTGGGGTCAAGTCTGGGGTTTCAGCAGACTCTGCCAAGTCATGGTGTTCTGACACTGTACAGCAGTGGTGGCCCCGGGGACTGGAAACTTCAGTGATGTTCCATTTTGTCTGGCAGGCCAGATTTTAGGAGCATGTTCTCTGTTAAACAGGGTGACAGCTGTGTGGGTATGGCAGGGGTGGAACTTGCTGGTTTTGCTAGACTTTAAAAATAAGGTGTTTGGAAAATATGTTGAAGATTAGGAAGTTGAATATCATATGAAACAAATACCTTCAACCACATGCATACACTGTCAGTGGAACGTGGATGCTTAGAGAGAGTGTATGGATGGTCCCTTGTGAGGTTAGGGCTGGAATTGTTGGTCTGCTCATTTCTCGGCCTTGCAGCAGGGTCTCTGCAGCCATTGGAGAGCAAAACATACCAGCTTTATCTTTGTGTGCCTCTGCTTTCATGGGGAGAGCCTGCTCTCTCACAGGTGCTGCCTGGCCTCTGGGGACTCTCCGAGTGTGGGGCCTGGCAGTGGCCGGGCGCTCCTGCCCTGCATTTCCAGTCCAGCTCTGGCTTTGTCCGGGCCCTCACAGACAGGGCCGTGCGGGGGGCCCTGAGGGGCCGGCCCAGCACAGCCATGGCAAGCGGCCCCCTGCGTGCCCCATGCCTGGAGCTGAATCTCCAGGTGGGTTTATCCTTGTGCCCGGCCTCCTTCGGCCAGTGCCGTAGTGTGGTAATTGTTTTCCACTCCTTTGGCCTGTACAGACTTCTTCCATGCTCCTTCCCTTTTTTAATATTTTCTTTTTTTAACAGTTCCTATAATCTAGAATTATTTTCATTTTATATTGTAAGTACAGGAGAGTATTATGGAGTTCAGTGTCTTTACAGATAGCAAAGGTTTTATGAGCTTTAGATTTCTTTCCAGGGACATGCAAATTATTTTTTGCCCCCTATTAAGTAAGTCTGACTCTTTCAGTACATACCCCTCTGCTTGCTGGCTCTTCACCTATTTTACCAGACAGTCTTCAGTTTAATTTGCTTAGCAAATCCCATTGTGAATAAGTAAGCAAGAAATATGAAGTGTAGGTATTTCCTGGAGGGCCTGCAAGGGTCATGGTGTGGCCTTTGGTGTTCCTTTCTCTCTAGGATGTACCTGAGGTACACCAAGCTTGTACCTCATAAGACGTCAAGACAAAGCCGTGTTTTTTTTCATGAGAGTATTCCAAACTATTGAATATTTGCTAAATCTAATGCTATATTTAGCTTTATAGTATTTAAAAATACCTAGACTTTCACAGTGGAGACATCAATGAGAATGTTGATACTAAGGTGAGGGATTAAAAGGGAAAGAAAGCGAAACATTTAAGAGATGGAATGTGGTTGTGTTTTACCTATGAGCTTTCCAGCTAACATCACATTTGAGGAAAATCCTTTTCCGTGTGTCCAGTTTCAGATCTGTGCAGATGTATAAACAAAGCATAAAAAGATTTGTAAATAATATTTCACTTACTGCAAGTAAGTATGTAAAAGTAAAATGGAAACAAAAGGAGTAGGCAGATTACTATACCCCACTAAGAACAAAACCAGTATGCTAGTTCTTCCTTGTTCTGGTATCTACATTGTAGGAAATCTGGCTTTTAATTGCTCTCTCTCCAATACTGAAACAAAGGCAGTGTCTAAGAATTAGAAGAATTACCTTATACTGATTGAATTGAGAGAAGCATAGAAATGAGTATTTCATACCATGGAACCATAGACAGCTGAAGCTGTCCACACAAATGTACATTCCATATAATGGATAACCAAAAGCAAGTTACATCAGTGTTGATGTAAAATTTATATGCCATCTCTAAATCTAGATCTGAGTGTTTTTCAGACATGTTCTGTGTTACTCAGAGATTTGAGTTCTTTTAGAATTAAAAACTTCAGAATGAAAAACCAACCTTCAAAGTACTTGTTCTCTGTACTCCAGAGGGTGAATTTGAATATAATTGTTGCTGAGTGTTAAATCTGATTTTTACTCTCGTGACCAGGACTCAAGGAAACAGTATGAAGCGGAGTCAGGGAGGTCTAGGTTGGAGAGGTTTTTTACCCAGAAGGTGGTTAGGCACTGGAATAGGCTCCTCAGGAAAGTGGCCACAACACCAAGCCTGATGGACTTCAGCAAGTGTTTGGACAGTGCTCTCAGGCACAGGGGTGACTCTTGGGGTGACCTGACCAGGGCCAGGAGTTGGACTCCATCCTAGTGGGTCCTTTCCAACTTGGCATATTCAATGATTCTGTGATTCTGCTGGTATTAAAGTATGGGGACCTTTTAAAATGGTCAGTTGTGTATAGCAACAAGGCGAGGGAAAATTACTTGCTTAAGCATTAATTGGAAGGCATGGGTATTTGTTATATGATAGGGGTTTTCCAGCAAAAGGTGCTTTATGACACCTTGTCCCTCTCATCTCCATGGTCTAGCTCAATTCACTTTGCACACACGCACAAAGAGAAAGCACTCTCTAAAGTTTATCAGATTTCATCTCCCTGAGCCAAATGCAGAAGAGCTCTCTGAGAGGATGATACTGTGTAGGGGTTTTTTCTGCAGTAAGACAAAGTAGAAAATGTGATTGTAACCTCTGTGCTCTCAGCAGAGCTGAAGCAAGCAGCTTCATCAGTTGGACACAGCACTGCTGTGGAGACATTGTATTTTTCTTGTTGATCTGGAGTGAAACACTAGTTATTTCTCAAGTACCAAAATCAAGATTTTCTAAACCAGCTAAGTTTAGATAAGATACTAAACTTACAGATATATAGCAAAGTGCCTTGTAAAAATAATTACTGTTAAGGAAATCTAAGCAGCTTACAAAGAAAATCATTGCAGTTCTTACAGGGACATAGATCATTGTAACTTTTATATTTGTGAGTTAGCTAGCCTTTCTTTTCACAATAGTTCCATTGGAATAAGAGAAAACATGCAATTTATTGTATTGTTTTTCCTCTCCATTAACAGTGCAATGTTAGTGTTGCTTGTTACAAGGAGACACTTTCAGTTTCAGTAGAGCTGAGACATCATTTTGTGGTCTTTTTATAGAGTATATTGGAGGGATGATAGAGGTTCTAATACAGATGATTTAACATATGTACTCAGGTTTCACAGTACTTGCTTTGTTCTCACTCAGGATTTCTACTAATATATACAAATGAAATTCTGGTAGCTTTGGCAGTTAGTACCTTTGAAATAGAGCTTAGTACTATGAGTCAAGAGAGGATGTTGTGTATGATGTGTGTGTAAATTAAATGTGTATTTGTTTCCAGAAAACATTTTTATAGCATATTAAGATTATTTGGAGGTGTAGTTTTCTGATAGGACTTTTTTGTAGGACTTAAATACTTCTCATTTGAAAGTGCAAATACATTTCAGCATAGCTCCTATACTCTCCTTTTACTGTTTCTGTAAATGTAAAAGTTTACCCAAATTGCAAATGTAGCCATTATCTGTTTAATAGCCTCCAGCTAGTGTCCTTCCAAAAGTATCTGGAGGTTTCATTTCTAGAAGTTTGAAGTTGAATTCAGTTTTCCTCCTTCTGTAATGTTGTATCTTCACTGAAAAAAACCAAACCAAAACCAACAGAAAAACAACAGACACCCCTCACTCAAACCCTAGTGTCCTTGGCTATTTTAATATTGTCCATAATATATCTCCTTAAAAGTAAGCTTTCTTAACAGTAGCGGGTTGATGAATTTGATGCATAATATCCTTACTCCTTTTATGTGCCAGAACTTGTCAAACTGGTGTGAACATTGCTTTCCTTCTAATGGTGAGTCCAGTGTCATTTCCACCTCACAGTGCCCCCATTGATGAGAGGCCGTGGCTCAGCTGAAGTAAAATGTTCCAGCTGCCACCGGATAGCCTCTTGCATAAGCACATAATCCACTTACCTTAAGAAACAAAGTAAGTCATTATCTCTTCTTATCAGAATACTTGTTCCATTTGAATTCAACGTACAATGTATAATTGACCCCTTAGGAGCCGTGTGTACTAGAAAAAGAATTAACAGATTAACTGGTAGACTCAGTTTTGCTCTGCACTCGACCTACAGTAGCTATTTACTTCCAGAGGTGTGCTTGTTGGATATGGTAACTGATATGGCTGCTGTAGCAAGGCCTCAGACACAGTCATATTCTAAAAACTAAAATAAATGTGAAAATATTTTTTGCTTTCCTTGATTTTAGTCATAGCTGCTTATTTCTAAGAAAAAATACTGAGTTTCCTTTAGTGTTCATACTGTGCCTCCTACGATGATTCAAGTTGGGATCTATGCCTGGTATGCCCTCTGTCTTTATTAAATGTGGTTGTATTTTATTTCTAAGGAATTGTCTAATAGAATGCCTCCTAACACCAAGAAAGATTAATTGTTTCTAGATGGCAAAAGTAGATTACTTTCCCCTCCTGAAATTCTCTCTTACTTATGAATTGTATCTTCTTATATTTAGAGGAGGGACAAAAAGGAAAGTATTAGGAAGTGGACAAAAATAACTCCTGTAAGACATTGTACTACCAACCAGGGCTCTGCCAAGGATTACTTATCTCATTTGTAGTAATACTCCTTGGGCTATCACCTGCAGTTTTATTTTTGGCACTATCCTTTTGGTATCTTGCCCCATTTTTGTTGCCTACAGGACAGCTGATCCTGCCTGTAGGATGCATGTCTTGAAGAGTCCCTCATGTCATCAAAGCACATTTGGAAATGTGCATTTTACAAAACTGGTCATGTGCTCTTCTGCAGGAATCAAACATGCCGTATTCATTAGAAGTCTATATTTTTGTTTATGGGTGAAGTGGGATTTCTAGAATCTGGTTATTTTATAACATATATAACACATATCCTGTATGTGTTTAGGGGGAACAAAGGAGTTAGTCTAAGAACAAGGATTTCTGATTTGATTTAGGGCTTGCCTTTGGCTTTCAACTTTTTTAAAGGTTTAAGGTAAATAATTACCTGATAGAATAAATGTCATGAATGGTTAGACTTCTGTTTACAAACACAACTGTGATTGAAATTGGCCTGGTAATCAATAAACTCATGTTAGCTGGTTTAGAGAGAGCACAGAATTGCCTCTCCTAAAATCACTGAATTCTAGGCATTTGTCAATTTATGCAACCATCTGATCTTACAGTATAGTAACAGCATTGGACATTCACTTTATACTTAATTCTTATTTCCTCCACACAGATACAAAAAACCCAAACAAACAACATAGCATGCATGACAAGCTAGTTCAAAAGTCCTCATTGCTTTTTCTAACCCAATTTTGCAGCAACTGAGAATTTTCATTTGGGGGTTTTTTCACTTGGACTGATTACAGGAATTTCTAGTCCAACAGGAAAGACAAATGAAGGGGCACGCTGTTTTCTGGGAATTAGTTTTATTAGGCATGAAAGCTGAAACTTTAAAAGAATATTTGTCCGTTGGACTTCTTTCAAAAAGAACACTAGGGAAAATCTATTAAAAATATTTTCTTTCCTGTTGTAATAATTCCATTTTTAAAGTATGTGTATTCATTTGAAACAAATTGTTAGCAAATGTGCTTTTTATGATTATCTAGTGATTTCACTTTGCAGGTTCTTTAGCCTGTCATACACAGCAGATTAAAATAGATAATCCTGTTGATTCTGATTCAGTATTTTTTTGATACTTG